CCAGCCGACACCTGGAACTGATAAGACGAGGAGTGGGCCCCACCTCCTTCTTTCTCCTCTATTAAATATCAATCCCTATGATAAAACTATACCCTTAAAATCTTATTCATTCATTATCATCATTATTAATGCAAATATTTGTAACAAACATTTTTTCCATCACAAAATCTAATAATCATAATAATAATAAAATTTAATCAATGTTCTTTCTCAAGGATTGATATTTAATAATAATAAACTCAAATGGGCTTTCTTTTTCTTTTCTTTTCTCATCATACTCCATATTTATTAATCACACAAAAAAAAAAAATTAGCTCAAAAAAGAAAAAAAAAAGATTTATTTTTATTTTTTGCTCAATGGAAAATCAAACCTCACGTGTGTTTCCACACATCAAACGACCACACATGTGGATAGAGCGGGATCTACCGTTTTCCGTTACCGTTGCCGTTCACGTTCCATTACGAGTGGTGACTGGTTGTGTCGTGCCGGTCATCTCCACCGCCGCCGTGATGAGACTGCGACCCACTTCCCTGCGCTTCCATTACGCCGCTGCTCGACACCGACCGATAAGGATTCAGGCCTGCAAGTATATTGAAGTGGGCCTCACTAGAACTATTACTCCCTCCGCTGGCGCTTGACCCGAGTTGCTGACCCGGAACCAACGTGACTGGACCTGGAAAGTTCATGAAATGCAACCCACTCGACATCGTCCCTCTATACAAACCGCTGTTATTCACCGACGGAAAAGTCCATATGGGGTCACCCCCCATCCCTTGATTATTTGTGTTCGCAAGCATCCATAAATTCGCCGGTACCTGGCCTCCTCCGTGGCTCGCCGGAATCGCGCCTGTACTGAACTCCTGCTCCGGCGATGGCCGTCTCTTCCGCCCTATGCTGATGTCCTCCGCCGCGTCGGAGAGGTCTAATGAAGTGGTGGTGTCTCTGAGTTCGGGTTTGGCTTGGACTAGAGAGTTGCTGGTGTTAGTGGACTGGAAATTGAGGAGGGCGGTGGAGGAAGTTTCCGATGAGAGACCGAATCCTGGGAAAAGGGTTCGGCGTGGTTGGTGGAGGGAGAAATTCGGATTGTAATAGGACGATGAACGGAGCTGTGAAGGGACGGACATGGTGGAGCCAGAGCTACGTAATGAGATGTTGAGTGACGTGAAGTTCGCCGGGATTGTTCCGGTTCCCGTGGCGGCGATCACGGAGGGTTCCGCCTGTTGGAGTAGCCACTCGATGGTTTCTCCGTCGGACTTGTGACCCAGTTCGCGTGTCAGCTGGAATACCCTCGCCGCACATAGGGCTGGCATTCGGATGCGCCGCCCACGGCCATCCACTTTAGTGTGGCGGTCTTTGGTGGAGGTTCTCTTCGGTGGAGGCTTCTTGGAGGGCTCGACAGCAGCAGCAGCGGCGGCGGCGGTTGTCGTAGGGTCAGTGGAGATGGCGAGAGAAGGGTAAGGGGAAGTTGAGCAAGAGGCGGCGGCGGCGTCGTCTTTCTTTTCGAGTAATTGAAATGGGAAGTTAGGGCGGTGGTGGTGGTGGTGGTGGTAGCGGTGGAGGTCATCACCTCCCTCCATGATCGCATGTACAAAGATTTTGAATTGAGAAACAAAAAAAAAGGGAAAAGACTGAGTGAGTCAGCCTTTATGTTTTTTTTTTTTTTTTTTTCCTTAAAAAACAAAGAGGAAAAAATGATGAGGGAAATGCGAGTGAGAGCTGAATGTGTTTTTTTTACCATAACAAAACGGTGAAGGTTTGATGGAGGGTTGGACAATGGACAGCCCCTTTGGTTCAGACACCACGTGAGCTGCTTTTTTCTCTATCATTCAACCCACAAGGACAGTCGCCAATCATGCTGATGCAACACCTCCAACTATAACGCCATGGAGCCTGCTAGCCATGGCTATATTACACCTGCTCATCCATCCCCTTATAATTTCCCTCTGCTTCCTTACCAGTTACCACCTTTCTTTTCACCGTATCACAATTAACCCACGTTTCAAACCACCAAAGTCTACCTTCGATAGATGTTAAAAGTCCATTACTACTAGATATTGTCGGTTTTTGACATATAACTATTAGGCTCATAGTTTTAAAATAGGGAGGTTTTCACATAAATATTTTGTTTCTTCCTCCATCCATCTCGCAATCTATCCCCTTAGGGATTGTGTCCTTGCTGACACACAACCTAGTGTCTAGTTCTGATATCATTTGTAACAATCCAAGCTCACTGCTAGTGCTAGTAGATATTGTTCGCTTTGATCCATTACGTATCGTCGTCTCCCTCACGGTTTTAAAATTCAGTAGGGAGAGATTTCCACACCTTTATAAGAAATGTTTCGTTTCATCTCCAACTGACGTAGGATCTCACAATCCACCCCTTATGGAGGTCAGCATCCTCGCTGGCACACCGCTAGTATTTAGCTATGATATCATTTATAACAGTCCAAACCCACACCGCTAACATATATTGTCTGCTTTGACCCGTTACGTATCGCCGTCAACCTCACAGTTTTAAAACACGCTAGAGAGAGGTTTTCACACTTTTACAAGGAATGTTTCGTTCCCCTCTCAAACCAATGTGAGATCTCATAATCTACCCCTTAGGGAGCCAGTATTCTCGCTGGCACTCCGCTCGATGTCTACTTCAATATCATTTGTAATAGCTCAAACCCACCGCTAACAAATATTATCCGCTTTGACCCATTACGTATTACCGTCAACCTCACGATTTTAAAACGCGTATGCTAGGAAGGAATGTTTCGTTTTTCTCTCCAACTGAAGTAGGATCGGAGAGAATGGGTTAGATGATGATTTAGCTGCAATCAATGCCAATGAACAAACATAAAGTCCTTTTCTTTTTCTCCCCACCAAAAGAAAGGTAGAATCCAGTTTGCAGGGAAGGCAGCAACAGTAGAAGTTAGAAACGGTAAAAAACAGTTCAAATAAATGATCTAGTTTACATGTTACTGAATTGGGAACATTGAAGGACCTTGAGCCACAGTAAATTTTGCAAAATGGCTGTGTTGTTACATGTGAATGATAATAAATATATACCCTGTGAGGAAGGGTTTAGAAAGCAAGAAGATGGAGTGTATTCAAGGCTGTGGGTGCATCTAATGGGTGACAGAGTAGTGTGTGTATGAGTTGATGAAATAATTTGCAAGAAAAAACTAGAAATGTGGACCAGACATTAGAGAATGCTGCCTTTTCTGAGACCACATGCGCTTGCCACTTATGTATGGCGCTGAAGGAGACAGCTTACCCTCTAATTTGGCTAAGATCCTACTTATTATATCTGCTCCAAAACTTGAAACCACAATTCCCAGTTTCTCGCCTGCACACCCAGCATTTGCTTCAATCTCTCCCTTTGAACCAACCATCTTCATTATTCATTACTATTGTCCTCAATTAACTGTTATGCAATGACATTGTTTCTAAATTAATTGGTTTTCTTCGACCCGAGTTGAATGAAACATTCTTTATAATGGTGTGAAAACCTCTCCCTAGTAAAAACGTTTTAAAACCGTGAGGCTGATGACAATTCGTAATGAGCTAAAACAGATAATATCTATTAGTGATAATATCTATTCGTAATGGACTGATGACAATTCATGTGCCAGCGAAAATGATAGACGTCGGTTCGGGAGAAAAATAAAACTTTTCTTATAAGAACGTGGAAACCTCTCCCTGGTACATGTGTTTTAAAATTGTGAGGCTGACGGTGATATAGAACGGACTAAAAGAGTATTAGTGATAGGGTTGGATTGTTACACAAACTCTTCCGTTTTCCTGTTTATCTGTTATCGAAGACCTGTGTCTGGTTTGAATGTCTGCCACTTTTTTATTGGGTAAATCTAAGGACCATGTCCAAGTGTAATTTAAGGTTGGATTAACTGGAAAAGTTGGGATTTGTAAGGAGGGGGGTTGGGTTTTTGGTTGCAGCTTTTAATGAGTGGGCAGTAAATAAAGGGAATTGAGAGGAGATGGGGCCAAACCCACCATTTGTGACCTCACACTTAACTCCTTGTCTCGTACCAAACCAGCAATAATGTTTAAAACTTTGCATGTGATGTCACGTGTCACACTTGCATTTTTTAAGCAACGAAATAACGATAATACGATATTTATTTTAATCAAACAAATAAACTAGTTAAGTAAAAATCGAACCCAACATGACCGTAACATCACACAACATGTCAAAGTCAACTCAAACCACATCAATGTCCCCCATTATCTACCCCTTCATTCTTACGGTTGAGCTTATGTTCACTAGAAAATGTCATTTTCAAACAATATAGTCAACATCAATGGTGCCCAAAATTATCCATTTTTAGGTAAATTTGTAAAAATCATAATACAACAAATTTATAGAACTCTCGTGTTTGTCCATAATCCAAATCAACTTGAGTATCGCATATACATATAATCGATAATTGAGTTCGAATTTCACATCATAGTAAAAGACTTGATAAAAGTAAATTTTAAAGTACGTAATCATAAATTATGGAGACGTGACATGTTTGTATTAATAGATATATTTTTTAATGTCTCAAAATTAAGCCCATTTATCCATTAATTTCGAGGAAGAAAAAAAAGGTGGTGGATGGAATTGTGATGTGAACGTTTCACTGTTGGCAATGGGAAAAGTCTGCGTCACTCTTTTCTTTTTGTTGCCTTTATTATTATTATTATTATTATTATAATAAATAAATCTTATCCAAATCAGACGTAGTTGAGTCAACCAATGGAATCACTCCAAGTAAGCAGCATACAGTCATGAAATAACGGGCTTGTTAATTGCTAACCCAACCCCATTCATTTAGGATTGTGGCCCAATAATCGGCCCAGCCCAATTAGACCTTTTGATCGGAGCCCATAAAAAAAGTAGAAAGTTGATTTTTTTAGAAAGGACGACATTAAATCTTAATCGTCGATGAGAACGCATACGATCCGTCGGATCTAGGGCATCGGGGCTGTCTTGGTGTTTTTATTATTTCATCCTCCTAAATTTGGAAGAAGGTCTCCGCAGCAGCCTCCTCAACCAGGTCACCCAGAGAACGAGAGGAGAATCGTCCAAGATGGTTCAGCGTCTTACTTACCGCAAGCGCCATAGCTATGCTACCAAGTCTAACCAGCACCGTGTCGTCAAAACCCCTGGTAGTGCTCTCATTCGACTCCATTCTATATCTATCCCATTGTTTCTCGCGCAGTTGATATTGCATTTAAGGCTTGTTGGAAATCTATTGTTGGCTGATATTTGTGTCATTGTTCTTCTTTTCTGTTTAAAGGCGGGAAGCTTGTGTACCAGACTACCAAAAAAAGAGCCAGTGGTCCGAAATGTCCGGTTACCGGAAAAAGGATTCAGGGAGTAAGTTTTTAATCACAGTTCTCTGCCTTCTTTCTTTTTTACTCTTGTTAGTTATTTCACCAATTACGTATCTGATTGATGTACTCGTTCCATTTCTCTGTTGACTTTCCTGATGTTTTGATTAGCTGATGGATGTTATCTTTTTGTGGCGTGTGCGTTTGCCTTTAGTGGATTGATTGATGTTACTTGCTAAATGTAGCACTTGTAGTTTAGGGCATTGTGGTAGCTGTTCTCTTCTTGTTTCTTTTTGTTTCTTTTTGTTTGCTGTGTCCAACTTATTTAGTAGACAAGGAAAAGGGAAAAAAACTGATGCAGATAGCTTCCGTTAGGTTTGTGCCGCATTTGTGATGCGTCAGAGAAAGTTTTTGTCGATCAGTACTGAAATTTCGCTCGTGTATGGAACTTTTGGTTCCTACGATCATTACTCCGGAAGTTACTAGGTTTTACAGGGAGACTAGTTTTTTTTCCAAGTTCAAATTTAATTCTAATTCCCTTGGTAATAACTGAACTTCGTCCGAATGATTTCTTATTTCGTTTTTACAAGTGGAAGTTAAAGAAATCTCTGTATTTTTTATGGCCTGATTGTTCCTCTGGATTATCTGCTGATCCGCTGACCTCACGATGTTGTCATTGAGCATGATCAAAGACAGACGTCACAGACTGAAATCAATCTCATAATGAAAATATTCATTTTCATAGTTTTATTTTGCATATCTGAATGATCCACAAATTGGATGGAGGTGCATATATTTTTAGTACGACTATATGTTTATATTACTTCTCTTATTGTTTGGAGGACTGTTTATGCCCTGAACTTAAGGCTTAAATTCTTCTCTTCATTATTTTAAAATGCATATACAATTCATAGGGGCTTTGAGGACTTCCAGTTTAACCATATCTTAGGTTGTTGAACTGGATCCTTATGGCATACCTGCAAAATATTCATTCATTTTATATATTAACTTCAAGATAGTAGTGTTCAACTATGTTCTATTTACAAAAAAAAAAAAAAGAGTGATCGGTCCTGGAATATGTTTTATTTATGGCATTCTATACATGTTCTACACACGAAGGTATCTATCTATGGGACATCCATTCTTGTACATTGGTAGATGCATTCATGTACATTTGTTCTTCATTACATGCATTCTCTGTCTCTTGGTAGACTCATGTATATACACTTGTGCTTCATGACTTACTTTCTTTGTATACTGGTAGACCCATGTATATACATATATGCACTCACATGTATGGTTTTGGACACCTTCTGAATTGTATGTTAGCTCAGCCTTCTAAGTTTAAGTTTGTTATTGAAAATTGGCTATTTGGTTTTTGTTCATTTGCATTAAGCTGGTGACGAATTCTGAAATTATATGGCTGTAAAGTGGCCTCAGACCAGATAGCTTTGGTTAATCCGTGTAAAATTTGCGTTCGCTGCAGATTCCTCACTTGAGGCCAGCTGAATATAAGAGGTCTAGATTGGCTAGAAACAGGAGGACCGTTAATCGTGCATACGGCGGTGTTTTATCTGGCGGTGCCGTTAGAGAGAGGTTGGCTTCCCATTACCTTTTTTGACCTCTCAATATTCCATCATCTATTTGATTGTATTTATCATAAATTATTTGCTTGCATCTTTCTTTTCCGGTGGTAGGATCATTCGGGCCTTTTTGGTGGAAGAGCAAAAGATTGTGAAGAAGGTATTGAAGATTCAGAAGGCGAAGGAGAAGCTTGCATCAAAGAGCTAAATTATCAAATAGGTGGTGGTGTTTTTTTTAGAAAATTGAAGAAATTTTGGCTTTTTTTTTTTTATGAGTTGATGCTGAATTTTAGAGATTATTATTTAAAATTTGGTTTTGATGGAATGAGATTCTAGTTCCGGAATTCACCTTTGATTGTTATATGTCGTACACTTCTATGATATTTTTGCCTTTTTATTAGATTTTTTATTTGATGGCCTTTGTTGAACCATGTTCTCCACCAGCTTTTTACCAATTAACATTAATTGATTATAAAAACTTACTTGGTCTTATTAAGTCTAGAGATGTAACATCTCATCCACCATCACATTTGACTGATCCAACTCTCATTTTATTTATTTATTTATTTTTCTGAATTCAAAAGGAATTTAGAAAAGTAAGTAAGAATTCTTGAATTAAACATCATTAATTTTTGGTATAGATGGGACGTGTTCTTGTTCATATATAATCCTATTTGTAGTGAAGTATTTAAGATTCTATGTAGATTTATTACTATTAGAAACCAATGAACACTATTAGCATTACAAAATCAACCTCTTCACTATTTATTGCACCTCCAAATCTTCTATCATTTGGGCAATGGATTTAATCTCAAGTATGAACTAATAGTTTCTCCTTTATATTTGTAGGATGGTCCATGTCGGTCTAGGAAGTGTAGAAGAAGAGAAGGAAACGTGGTTGATTGGGCTTTGTATTGTTCATAGTGTGTAGGAGTTGACAGTTTCAAAAAGTTTATAAAACAAAGAATTCCACATGAATATGGTGATGGGAGTTAAAGGTGGGCAGCCATGGAAGGTTGGTATGCAATAACATTGCTTGCACATCCTTGTCTTTATTTAAATTTGACCCTATCCCAAACAACAATGCCTTACCCCACTACCAATTAATGTCACAAATTCATCCATCATGCATTCACATCAATCGCCTCATTGCCCCTTTAAGCATCTTTCAACTTTTTTGGCTAACCCATTTGGAGGGTGTGTTTTATGTATAGCTATGCCTCTATCAAACCTATCTTACATTTTTATAAACTTTAGATCTATACCAATAGTAACTTTGAACTATGTTTGAATTGATATTTGATAACCCTCGTAGATAAGAAATTTCGGTTATATTGATAAGGAATCACTAAAGAGAAATTAAGATTCGAATTATCTTATTGATCGAATATCTCTACTTACCCTAATGATGTGAAAAAATTCAGAATCCCTTGTTCATAGAATATCTCAAGGCAAGAAAACTAAATTTTTTTAAGATTCGAACCATTCCACTGGCCAGATTTATTAAGTAAAGTTTGAATGATTATATAGAGAATTGTAAAAAAAAAAAAAAAAAAAAAAACAGAAATGTTCTTTTACAACAACATACAAGGCATCATGAAGTTGGATTGTTGTTAACGTGAGTCTCCTTGGTTGGGAGAGATTGTATAGTGAAATTAGGATGGGACACCATATGTTGAGTTGGCTCCATCTTGGGTCTATGCATGAATCCACTCTCGTTTTCAATGCAATGCACGAAAGGTAAAGTTGTCCATGAAGTATCATTTTCCACCTTTAATTCAATTGGGGACGCCCTCCATTGTCACATTGTAACCTCCCCTCAAATTTAGCTATATCTATAAACATACCTCAAATTCATACTCCATAACCTAATATTTATTTAATTAGTAACAATCCAAACCCACCGCTGACAGATATTGTTTGTTTTGGCACGTTACGTATCGTTGTTAGTCTCACGGTTTTAAAACATCTCTACTAAGGAGATGTTTCTACACTTTGTTCCTCTCTCCAATCGATGTGGGATCTCACAATACCAACTCCACGGAGACTAGCATCCTCGCTCTTGATGTCTAGCTCTAATACCATTTGTAACTCATGAGGAGAAGCCTGAAAGAAAAAACTCAAAGAACATAGTATCTAGATGATTATTGATTTCGTTGGATAACTTTGAAAGACAAATTTTAAAACCATGAGGTCGACAACGATACGTAACATGTCAAAACGAATAATATCTGCTAGCGTTAAAATATGTGTGAAAAATGAGAACAAAAACTCGATCCATTGTAATTGCATTTAAAAAGAGCTCCACAACATGAAAGAGCAAAGTAAGCATGGTTGTGGAAGGAGCTGAAATGAAGAGCTCAGAGCTGCAGATGATAGAGAGAAGCGACCTAAGTTCATGTCGACAAGGACAGTTGACAATGGAAGTCATATGATATTAGGGTTATTAAAGGAACAAACAGTGAAACAGGTGGCTTCACTCGGCACCGTATCTTGCCCCATACCACACACCATTCCCATCCGTATAATTCAATTCCGCCGACCTCTTCCCAAGCGCTGCCTCTCTATTTCCACCCTTTCTTTCTTCATTCCTCTCTCTATATATACTTAGCTTAGCCGACGTCCAATTTCCAAGCAAAACAAGAAACAAAGCCAATGGGAAGGCCACCCTGCTGCCAAACAATCAGTGTCAAAAAGGGCCCTTGGACTCCCGAGGAAGATATCATCTTGGTTTCTTACATTCATCAACATGGCCCTGGAAATTGGAGATCCGTTCCCAATAACACAGGTAATTATGTCCCCCGTTTTTGTTCATCCTTATTCTTATCCTTATGTTGAGATGGTTGGGAGGGTTAATTCCCTATTTAGAGAATGATAATGGATTTATAAGTTAGAGCCTTTTGGAGAAGCCCAAAGAGAGCTTATACTTAAAGTGGTCAATATCATATGATCTTATCATAATTTGAAGTTGTGTCTGATGTTTTGTTTAGGGTTGTTGAGATGTAGCAAGAGTTGTAGATTGCGGTGGACGAATTATTTACGGCCCGGGATCAAACGCGGGCAGTTCAGTGATCATGAGGAGAAGATGATTATCCATCTCCAAGCCCTGTTAGGCAACAGATGGGCAGCCATAGCCTCGTATCTCCCACGAAGAACAGATAACGATATCAAGAATTATTGGAATACCCATTTGAAAAAGAAGCTGAAAGTGTATGAAAATGGGTTGTCAAAGGGTCAATGGGAAAGAAGGGTTCAAACAGACATTCAAACGGCCAAACAAGCATTGACAGAAGCTATATCGCTTACAAAACAAACTCATAATTCTGAATCCAATACCTCTTCTTGTTCTTCATACGCATTAAGTGCTGAAAACATTGCCCGATTGCTCAAAAATTGGACAAAAAATTCAACGAGAACCAACTCAGAATCAACAACCACCCAGAATTGTGTGTCGGTGGACGAAAGTTCCAAGCTTGAAACTGATCTTGAAAGCGTGGGGGGACTGCCACTCACTTTGCTGGAGACATGGCTGTTTGATGATGGTGCGCCTCAAAATCATCAACATCTTATCAACTTCTCATTGCAAGACGGTCACCAAGGGTTGTTCTAATCTATAATCCTCCAAGTTCTTGCTTTCCCTCTACATTTTTAGTTTATATTACCAAAATTCACCAATTGTAAATCTACCAACAAACCATTTACCTTCAATATTATTTCGCTGAAACAGGTCTTTTTATAAGCTCATGTTTCGTCCGTTTCAAAGAGGAAAGATCTTCCAACATTCTTGTCTCATTCCATTCCAGTGTCTTCCCAGCATAAGATTAGTCCACCAATTATAATCTCTCATTAATACAGTAATTAATTATATATTCTAAGAGACAAGCTGTCATGAATTTGGCGTGGTAATAAATGTGACATTTAATTACAATAATTATTTTTGATTTTATCGTTTTGGTCCCCGAATATAGTGGGCCTGAAGTTGGGCTGTAAAATGTTAAGGCCCAATCCACGTCATGACAAAATATAAGTATGGTGAGGTGGCAGGAATATAATATCCAATGGAGGGTAGAAGTGGGCCTGAGATGGGCCCAAAATGGGGGGGTGGGGGGTGAGTGTATGGGCCTCTCAATGATGAGAAGGAAGGAGGGGACTATGAATGGGCCCAAAGAGATAGGCCCATTTCCTTTTTCCTTTCACGAACGACAAAATGCTGTTTTGTCTACTACTACTATCCTTGTCATTGTCATTTTCTTTTTTTCCTCTTATTTTATTTTGCTTCGTCTTTTGATTATCCCTTGAATTGGTGTTAAATTTAGAGGAATTATTATGATCTTTATGGGAGTCTTTCAATTATATTCCTCCAATTAGCGTTAAACCTAGAGCGATTATTACGATCTTTCTGGGAATGTAACGTTCCACTCAAATTGGGGTTAAATCTAGAGGGATTGCTATGATATTTTTGGAAATGTAACGTTTCCCATCAAATTGGCGTTAAATCTAGAGGGATTGCTATGATATTTTTGGAAATGTAACGTTTCCCATCAAATTGGCGTTAAATCTAGAGGGATTATTACGATCTTTCTGGGAATGTAACGTTTTCCATCAAATTGACGTTAAATCTAGAGGGATTGCTACGATATTTTTGGAAATGTAACGCTTCCCATCAAATTGGCGTTAAATCTAGAGGGATTGCTATGATATTTTTGGAAATGTAACGTTTCCCATCAAATTGACGTTAAATCTAGAGAGATTATTATAATCTTTATGGAAATGTAACCGTCCGCTCAAATTGGCGTTAAACCTAAAGGGATTGCTATGATATTTTTGGAAATGTAACGTTTCCCTCAAATTGGCGTACAATCTAGAGGGATTATTATAATCTTTTTGGAAATGTAACGTTCCGCTCAAATTGGCATTAAACCCAGAGGGATTACTATGATATTTTTGGGAATGTAACGTTTCCCTTAAATTGGCGTTAAATCTAGAGGGATTATTATGATCTTTTTGGGAATGTAACGTTCCCCTCAAATTGGCGTTAAATTTGGATGGATTATTATGATCTTTCTAGGAATGTAACGTTCCACTCAAATTGGCGTTAAATCTAGATAGATTATTAGGATCTTTTTGGGAATGTAACGTTCCCCTCAAATTGGCGTTAAACCGGGATGGATTATTATGATCTTTATGGAAATGTAACATTCCGCTTAAATTGGTGTTAGACCTAGATGAATTATTATGATCTTTAAGATTCTCTTATAGATTCGTGTACTTTAAGTAAGATTTCTCTATGATTCATTAACTTTTCTTCCATTCTCATAAGAGTAGACGGATTTTTAATATGGTATATTGTAACAGCCCAAGTCCACGGCTAGTGGATATTGTCTATTTTAGTCTGTTAAGTATCGTCCTCAGTCTCATCGTTTTAAAACACGTATGCTAGAGGAAGGTTTCCATACCCTTACAAAGAATGTTTCGTTCTCGCTCCAACCGATGTGAGATCACACAATCTCCACCTTCTTTCGGGGTCCAACATCCTCACGGGTAAACGTTCTCCTCTCCAATTGATGTGAGATCTTACAATCCACTCACCTTCAAAACCTAGCGTCCTCGCTAGCACTCGTTCCTCTCTCCGATTGATGTGGTATCTCACAATCCACCCACCTTTAGGGCACAACGTCTTGGCTAGCACTTGTTCCTTTCTCTAGTCGATATGGGATCTCAAAATCCACTCTCCTTAGGGGCTCGACGTCCTCGCTGGCACACCACCCGGTGTCTAGCTCTGATACCATATGTAACAGCCCAAGCTCACCACTAACAAATATTTTTCTCTTTCGGCTTTCCCTTTCGAGCTTCCCCTCAAGATTTTAAAACGCACAATCTATCCTCACTGATACACCACTCGGTGCCTAGCTCTCATACCAAAGACACATTTTAAAAATGTTGAGAGAAAGCCTCAAAGAAAAATCTCAAAGATGTCAATATTTGTTAGCGATGAGTATGCCAAGAATAAACAATGGAAGGAGAACAAAGAAAATGATTGAAGAGGGGGTATGACAAAGATATAATCCCTACAACTCTCTTCTGCAATGGATCAACATTCCCTTAAAACACGCTCCTTAATTGTTGGACGCTGCTGTTGTGCTATGCGCTACACAAATGAGTTGGTAATTTAACAGGCTTTGAAGTGTTACATCAAAATTGGAGAAGACCCCATCATGGATTGGGGTTTGATTAAGGCATTTGAAAAGTTTGAATCTAATCGATGTTGAAAGCTGTTAGCTTTATTTGAGTAATTGATTTGATGCAAAAGGGGCTTGGGGAAGAGGTTGGTTGGTTGGTTGAGGGTGCCCACTGTGTTGTTCTTCAATTTAATTATTGGAATCTTAGGTAATGGAATGGCGTTAATAATGGACCCCTTTGAGCTACACATCTTTGGGCTACCCATCTATTCTATACCCTTAATTATTACTGCTTAATTATAACGTTAGGCCTAAAAAGCCGCTGGTTTTAATCCCCCTTTTGTTTATTGAAAAAAGAAAGCAACATAATGCGGCCTCTTTTGTGTTCATCCCTTGGTTTTTTCCGTCTCACTGCCACCCCAAGCAGTGTATGGTGCATTATTTGAAGCAAGAATTGTGTGTAAAGTAGAGCAATTGTGTGGAGAAGCAGAAACCATATATGGGTACAATACCGCTTCTACTCCTTAATTAATTACCCCTCCTTTCAGCTACCTTTTTAGGCTTACCAATCAAGGAATGGCACACCCTTTGAATACCCCTCTGGGTTTGATAAGATGAAATTTGGTAGAGGGTCAGGTGAGTCATTGCGTTGTAATCCCACCAAAAGGGTTTTCAAAATGTTGCCAAAATAAGCTTGTGTTCCTGTTTTGATCGCTTCTGTGTGCCCACTTGGTTTCCTTAATAAATACCTCTCTTCGGGTTAGGGCTATATATATATATATATATATATCAGGAGCTTCATCTTGTCTCCTTTTCCTTTAAGTTGCGCCTAATTCGCCCAAGATTGGTGGGTTTATGATGAAGAAGAGGGTGGTGGTGCTGAAGAAAACTGAGGGGTCTGGCGTCCGGACCCGCTCCAGGGTGGGCTCTGTCGTGCACTATGTGGAGTGTCGGAAGAACCATGCTGCGAAGCTTGGTGGGTTTGCTGTGGACGGCTGCCGGGAGTTCATGGCCACCGGAGAGGATGGGACTGAGGAAGCTTTCATCTGTGCTGCTTGTGGCTGCCACAGGAGCTTCCACCGCAGGGAGGTTAATGCTGAAGTTGTTATTGAGTATCATCCTCCAAACCCCAATCATTGAACCCATCATCAAAATTCACACCTAAAACCAAAAGGGTCTCTTCTTATATATATATATATATATAAGATTTCTATATGTTGTGGTTTTGATCTGATCGGTAACAACACATGAATGATTGAGGAGGGGATATCAAAAAAAAACACAGTTTGTTTTTGTTTTTGTTTTTGTTTATGTTTTTGTTTTTGTTTATGATTTCCTCGTTATCAGATGCCTCAATTCAGTTCATCAGCAACCAACAATTATGAATCAATTTCTTATTTACAGAGCTTTCTAATCATGAACAAGAACCCTAGCTATGGGATTGAATTGTTTGGATTCCCATAATCTGATCATTTCTAATCGTTTGATGAACATGCATTTTCTGGGAATCCAAACAGTTCAATCCCAAATTAAAGCCTTTTTAAGTAAAATCCATAACAGAATTAATCAGATTATGAACTGATTTAATAATCTCAATGAATAAAATATTAGTTATTGAATTATGTGTGACAAATCAATGAATGATCCCAAATTTAATTTAATAAAAGAGAGTGTTAATATTTTATTAATTTTAGGGAATGAAATATAGCCGCCAAACCAATGAATGATTGAGTCTCATTGGACGGTGGCGATTGAACATCACATTCACCGCCTTCTGCGCCGCCAAAATCATTTACGAAACAACTCGTGCGTTATTCCATAATTGGGCTCCGCCTTCCGTTTCGGGCCGGCCCACACCACTAGCCCATTTTCTTTTCATGGAAAAATTAATGCCAAGGAAATTCATTATTTTATTAATTATTTTTTTTTTTTATAAATATTTAATTTCTTTAGCTTCATTGTATCTTCTCTTCTTTAAATTTATTTTACTCAATTTTTTGTTTGGCAACCCAAACTAATTAATTCTATAAATGTCAATTACCATAAAGAGAAAAGGAGGACCTTTAAATATAAGGGTGTTTTTGTAATTTCAGTATTATTTTAAAGTTTTTTCGTGTAGATTTTTTAGTTCTTTTAATAAAAGAACTCTTTTAAAGTGATTGACCATAATCCCTTTAGAATCATTTTTTTTTAAACTAATTTAATTATTTAAAAAATAATCTTTTTTTTTTTAATCATTTATAATCACTAACAAAATTAGTCTTAAAAACATTCTGAATATAGCTCATTAGTATACATTTTGAAGCTCACAAACTTCTTTGTTCGATGTCTGAATATTCTATTGACATAACTAAGTTAAGGATAAAGATATGACTTTGATACCATAGTAAGAACTACGACTCTCTATAATAGTATGATATTGTCCATTTTGAGTATAAACTCTCCATAAAAAGTCTCATACCAATTATCAACCCCTTAATTAGCGGGTATGTGACTAAATTTGAAGGAAAAAGTGGGAAAATAATAGCAACTACAATGCAAAAAATTGTATGAATAAAATCTTTGAAGAAAGGATGAAACTTTGCTCTCTACTACAACTTGGAAGGGCTGTTCTTTGTTGTAAAGAAAGAAATTGATGTGACTGAGATGGGAAAAGGCCTGTTCTATACAACAACTTTTCCAACTATTTCATTTAAGCAAACCAAAGAGAGAGAACTCTATGTATATATATATATGTAGATATATATATATATATAAATGGAAATTCAACCAAACCCTTTTGAAGAAAGCAATCAAAAGTAAGCAGAGAGGAGAGCGTGTTGGGAGCATTATGAGAAGATGAAATCAAAGCAAATCATGCTAGGATCTGTTGTGAATCGGGTCGGATCCTTTCTTGACTCCTCTTTTGTTGGACTGATTGGGGTCAAAATGCATGGCTGGTGAAGGAGCCAGGCTCATGTTCTTCATCTTCAATTTCTTCACAGAATCAGGGTTGTGGGTGTTGGTAATTGGCGATTTGAAGGCCACCCATTTGAGAGCAAGATCAATGGTGGTGAGCCCAGATGCTGTTTGGGGTTGAACACACAGAGACAACCCAGCCACAAGTAAGGCAAAGACCAAAGCTTTGGTGCTAAGCATGGCGTTGGTTTGGTTGTGGGCGTTGAAGGCAGTGATGGGGTTTGTGGTTTATAAGAATGGAAAAAAGGAAAGCAAGAAAAGAAGACATAGATTCATGCCAATCATAAGCCTGCCATGGAAGCAATAAAACAAAAGGGTGTTTTAGAAGACTCTGTCCAAGTTTGAACAAAAAGTTCCATTCTTGGGAACCCAACACTCTCTTTATCCTCTCCCGTAATTTTGCCATGCTGTTCTTCGGAGTGATCCTGAGTTTATAAGTACATAATACATCGATTGTTGAGAGGTAGTCTCACGGAGTGTTACTTTTTATGCTTTTAGTACCCAATTCCATTGAACTCAAAAGCTTTAGGAGGATTGTGAAGACCAGGACCGTCTTTTGATCATTGCATTATTGGGGTTTTGGTTTGGGTATTTCTTTTTTACTCAAAAGTGAGGTTGGTTTGAGACCGACAGGGTTTGGGATTGGGACTGGTCACGGTCTTCTTAACACTCTTGCCGCCCTTCTGCTTCCTGTCTGCACTCTCTTCCTTTCCAACTCTCCATTCCATTCCCATTTTTAAATCCCTTTCTAATCTTACCCTAACCCTAATTTCTTTCTCACTATTAACTTGCTTTACTTAATCAAATCAAATTAGTCTCCATCTCCGACCATGACCCTACACCATTATTAGAAATGTTTCGTTCTCCTTTCCAACTGATGTGTGACTTCACAATCCAACCCCTTGAAACCCCTAACAGGGCTAGGGACTAAGGTTACATTCTTTGTCTATGTCTCCATCCTCACCACAACCTTACACTCTTATAAGAAATGTTTCGTTATCTTTCTAACTGATGTGGGATCTCACAATTCACCCCTTGGAGGTACCTAAACAAGGCCAGTGACAAAGATTACATTCTTTGTCCATGTTCCCATCCTCACCACGACCTTATACCCTTATAAGAAATGCTTCGTTCTCCTCTCCAATCATTACGATCTCACAATTTACTTTCTTGCGGGCCTAACGTCTTGTCTGGCTCTGATACCATTTGTAATAGTAAAAACCCACCGATAGCATATATTGTCCGCTTTGTCACGTTACGTATCGCTGTCAACTTTACAATTTTTGAAATGGGTCTCCTTATAAGGATTTTTAGTATATATATATGGGTTTGATTTAATTTGGACATATTTGCAAATAAATAAGGAAACGCAACCGGTTTAGGTGGACCGATGTGTATAGAAATTAGACCGGAGGCTTTCAATTTAAAGATGAAGGGCGAATATAAGACCCTGTCTTCTTTAATCCGCTACTAGGGTTTTAGTTCTAAAGCCTGTCGGTTCCAACTAAAGAGTATACTTCGAAATGGCGGAAGAGACAATCCCTCAACTCGCAGAAAACGGTCCGGAGGTAACCAACTCCGCCGCCGAAGATATGGAACTTGAAAGCACAGAGCCGAAAGTATCAGGTGGTGATTCTGATGCAAACGAGGCCGCTCCAGTAACGAATGGTGATGCTAATTCCAAGCGTGAGAGGGAGGAAGAAGGCGCCGGTGACTATGTCGGAGAGGCGAAAAAGCCGAAGGTGGAGAAGTCGGTTGAAGAGGAAAGGCTTGAGAAGGTGGAAAGAGATGGGAAAGGCGAGGAAGAGCATGGTCCTGTGAGTTTAGGCCCGAAGAGCTTTGGATCATCGGTGGAGTTGTTCGAATACTTCTACAACTTTCTTCACTACTGGCCTGCCAACTTGAACGTGAACCAGGTATAATATTATGGTCTTCTTTTATCTGCTATCCTTCTCTGTTTTGTTAATGGAAAGGCTACGAATAGCATTGATAAAACTTTATTTTCTGCTAAATGCTGCTGATTTTGTTCATCATCGTCATTGCTTTAGCGTATAAAAGATCATGTAGCTAAAGAATAAAATAAAATTACTAAATGGGGTGGGGAACTGGGATCTCTGTACTCATGAAAGGGTGAATGGTTCATCAATTTTAGCAGAAGGGTGAATGCTCTACCAAAAATATTTTTTCGTCAATCAATTTGATATGAAGCTTTTACCATTTTTTATCTTTTGTGTCATGAATTACGGTCTTAATTATTGTAGTTGTTTTGATGGAGAATAAGCTTGTATTCATGGACAAGTTGGAATTTGAGACTTGTTCTTCAATATTCTCATGGAGATTGATGATGGTTGCCTCATAACTTGTAAAAGTTTGAGGTCTTTACTTCTCGGAGATTCGTAATGGGTACAAGAGATCTCTAAATTTCTTGCTTGGTGAATTACCTTATTAGGTATACTATGATTTGAGTTCATATGAAATGAAAACACTAAGGTCATTTGGATTCTTCTGTCAGATTGATTAGTGGTTGGCTTGATTTTATACAATTAACGTAGGCCAAATGGTTAAAAGTGACCTCCCTCATTCCATTAAGGCTCCACCATTCTTAGTCTTGAATGTCTTAAATGTGAAATTTGTTCTGTGGCAGTACGAGCTGATGGTGTTGCTGGATTTGATTAAGAAGGGGCATGTCGAACCGGACAAAAAGATCGGCTGTGGTGTTCGCGCTTGCCAAATTCGATACCATCCCATGTGGAAAAGCAAGTGCTTCTTCCTGATTCGGGAGGATGGGTCTGCTGATGACTTCAGCTTCAGGAAGTGTGTGGATCATATCCTTCCACTGCCTGAAAACTTGAAGACGATATCTGATGCAAACAGGGCATTGGGTGGTGGTAAGCACCGCGGTGGAGGAAGAGGAGGAGGGGGTAGGTGGAGAAACTGATGCTTTTCCCAAGCTTTCCAGTTTTCACCACATTGGAGTGGTGGAGTCAGTTTGTTTTCCTGCTAAGAATTTACGACCAAATCCCCCCAGCCCTCATGGCTCTTGTCCTCAAGGTCAGGGAAGAAGTTAGAGAAATGATTTGCTTACGCCCATAATTTCTATGTTTTACTTCGTTGAGAGAAATGATTCCTTGAATATTATCCAAGATTCTTAATTTTGTCAATTTTATAGAAGAAGATTCTAGAGTACTATTTCCTTCCGTCGAAATTGAAACCCTCCTTTCCCTTTCATACATACATACGATTAAGCTCGGTCGAAATTTATTTCATAAATTTTACCTTGGTTGGGAGTGTATATTTTAATTTATTTCATTAATAGATTGCTTAAGCTAGATTTAGAGTAAAATATCATGATCGAGTCGACAATTGGAGCGGAAAGAATCTGCATTAGAGATGATCGGAACATCAAAAAAAAGAAGTGAAGTTAGAAAGCAATATGATAGGTGGTAATTATCTTGTACGGTTTGGGGGATAATTGATATACCTGTATTAGTGGGGGTAGCATTCAATCGAACATACAGAAAATTGGAGGTAGCATTCTACTACAGATGTTAAATCATGGACTGGTTCCTTTAGCCCTTTTGCAATGTTTTGGGATTCTATAATTCAAACGGACTACCACAAGAAAGTCGCTCCTATCTATGACCACTTGTCATGAAAAATGTAAAATATCTACTTTCTTGTCTTGCCTCTCTGAAACGAGTATCTAAGTATCCTTTTTTTAAGGGGAGCTGGTCCGTGTGGCCAGCTAAAGAAGATGACAACGGAAAGGGAGCCTGAACGAGGTAACTTATGCTTTTTTTCATTATCACAAGGTCTATCCTATAGAGGTACTAAGATTGGATCAATTTCTAGGTTTTAGTGTAAATCTAATGGGTTACTTCTTCCGGGGTATAATTAATTATACAGAAATCAAATAAATGAAAGTATGATGATAATAATTGGAAACATACACTGTAATTAACCTGTAACCGATCCCTAAACATATGGTTGTCTTTAATCCTAATTAATTACAGGAATTTGAAGATGAGGAAGCGTTATCATCAGTAGTGAGTCCAACTCGGGGCTGTCGTGTGGGTTGGAACTCTAAGGATCAAAGCTTTTTAAGACGGCTTAAAGCTTTTGATGGGTAATCATTATCGTAAGTTTTTAGTGCCTTCGTTCCATTGGTTAGTTTCATCGAAGCAGTAAGCACACGCTCATGATTTCACTGTTCATTACTCAAAATCCAAAACTGATCTCTTTCTTGCATGATTTCGTTATCTGTTCATGCGCTCTGATACTGGTTTTACGCTTCATTGGCTGCGCACCTTCTCCAATGCCTTCTCCCTTAAATTCTTTCCCTTTTCTTCTTCCCCTTCAATTTTCCAACTCTTTTGGTGAAGAGGAAATGGACCCTTTTCCTTCGTCATGCCATCTTTCCCCTCTCCATTTCAGGTGAGTTTTATGAACTTTCATTGTTCATTTAGTCTTCGTTTCTCATTTCATTTAGAACCTACAATTCTGCATTGAATAGGAGCTGCAATTTTGGGTTTCAAGACAGCATTTTTGACGTTGTTCCATTGTTTGAGACATGCCCAAATGACTCCTTTTTGGTTCTAAAGGATATTGAACCCATTAACACCATTATATCAGGTATGAATTACATTACATTGCTCTTGATTATGATTATATATTTGTCACTGAAAGATAGAATCTTTTTGGCTCTGCAGAAGATGGTGGAGAAAATGAAAAGAATGGATTAGAGAGGAAAGAAGGGAGGGGCAAAAGGAAGTGGTGCGGAGAAACGAGCAGCAGCCCATCAAAAGGTTTGTCAAGAAAGACAATATCTGAGTACTTCTGGATGCCCATAAGTCAGGCCGCTAAGGAATTGAATGTGGGGCTCACTCTGTTGAAGAAGAGGTGTAGAGAATTGGGCATAAGGAGATGGCCTCATAGGAAGTTGATGAGCCTCCAAACGCTAATCAAGAATGTGAAGGAGCTTGAGAAAGAAGATGGAGTGAAGCTAAGGCATGTATTGGAGATATTAGAGAATGAGAAGAAGTTAATGGAAGAGAGACCGGATTTACAGTTAGAGGACAACACGAAGAGGCTTAGACAAGCCTGCTTCAAGGCCAACTACAAGAAAAAAAGGCTGTCCGGAACGAACAACTCCTCAGCCACCAGGGTTCTTCAGGATGATGAAGAAGAAGAAGAAGAAGATGAAGAAATGAAGTATCTGTTGGCGGATTGCTCATTTTCATTCACTGGTGGCAGCCTGTTGCTGTACTAAAACCAGCATCAACTTCAATTCAATTCAGGGTTTCATCTTTATATCTTTTGTGAGGATGATTAGAAATCACAAACCTCCATAAGAATGCCAAGCCCACTCTAACGACCTTGTAATCTCTCCTCCCATCTCATTTCATCTTTCCTCTCCTTTTCCACCCTCACTCTCTCTCATGTCTCTCTTGTGGTTAAGGTTGTCATCTCTTATGTCTCTCTTTTGGTTAAGGTTATTAAACCTGTGGACCACAGCACGGCCAAGTCTATCAACTCGGAGGTGCACTCAGATTGCAGGTATTGCATGAAGCTGAAATATCATTTGAAGTGCACAGTCGAAACAACCGTATGTTATTACAAAATTTTCAATTACTAGCACATTATTACATTCTTCTGATAATCTACGGCAGCAGTAAATGTCTGCAACAGAAGTTCTCCACCAGATGGGGTTAACATGAAAACATACAAACTACTAAACAAAAAGAAAAGCCGCAAACTGATGCTTAGGATTCATTGCAACTCTCCAACCACGTTATGAAAAAACAGGGTATTAAGCCGCCACAGCTTCCTTCTGAGCAAAACCAATGCCCTTCTCAATGCTCGCCTTCAGTTCTGTCTTTAGAGCTTCAAGAGCCTTCTGCTCGTACTCAGACAATCCCTGAAGCTCAGATTTTACAAAGCCTTCAATTCCTTGCCTCCCTAGCTTAACCCTCGATGCAAAGAAGGGAAGATCGGTTAGATCAGACTGCACGAAAGAGCACTCATATACATCGCCGTCTCCATCCAAAGCACGAAGAGATGATTCGACAAATCTTGCTGCAGCGTATGCCATTGAAAGGGTAGCCGATCCAGCTCCTGCCTTCGCTTCCACGACTTCAGTTCCCGCATTTTGAATTCTAACAGTTAGTTCCTGAATTTCTTCGTCTGTAAAGCTCGCTGAAGGTCTTGTCTTTGACAGCAAGGGAAGTATTGTTATACCCGCATGTCCACCAATGACTGGGACGTCAACGTCAATCAGCTTAAGGTTCTTTCTTTCAGCAACAAAAGTGTTTGCCCGGACAACATCCAATGTAGTCACTCCAAAAAGTTTCTTTGAATCATACACGCCCTTCTTCTTCAGAACTTCAGCTGCTATTGGCACAGTGGAGTTCACAGGGTTGCTGATGATATGAATGAAGGCATCAGGACAGTTATCAGCAACAGCCTCGACCAAACTCTTAACTATGCCAGCATTAATATTGAATAGGTCATCACGAGTCATACCGGGCTTTCTTGGAACCCCAGCAGGTATGACAACAACATCTACACCTTTCAAGGCATTGCCTAATTCAGAAGGTCCTGTGAAATCCTGAACTTTTGAGGGAGTGTTGCAGTGGCTAATGTCAGCAGCAACACCCTTGACATTAGCAATATCATAGAGGTTCAAGGTGGAAACTAATGGAGACATCTTGATGAGAAGCGACAAAGGTTGACCTATCCCTCCAGCAGCGCCAAGAACAGCAACCTTGTAAGACGCTTGAGGTTGAAGTTTTTTGTATACATTCTGGTTCGCATTTTGAGATGAGGTAGCGTGACGACGCCATAAAGCGGCACTGCTCTGTTTCCCTAGGAAAGATGACTCCGATTCACAACCAAGAGATGAAGCAGCCTTGAGGCCACAGAAGCTCTTAAAAGTCTCTTGTGAATTGATCCTTAAGCTAGCAGACTTTGACTGGGAAAATGAGTTGAGTTTAGTATTAAGTGATGCATTTGTTCCAATAGACAAAATAGTTGCGGAAGTTGCTGCCATATCTGACTCTGTTAAAGAAAGGGGGGAGGCAGAAAGCGTCAGTCATTTTCATGATCTGGTGTTCTCCAAGAATACAAAACAATAATTTCTAAACTCCCCAAGAGGACTCTAATGAATATATACCTCAACACTATAAAAAACAACCACCACTCCAACTTCCCGATGGTGGATATGAAAACTAACAAGTTTGTGCCATAAAGATCATCAAGAAAATCAGATGATTTCTTCAGAAAAATAGTACAAATATCACCGACAACCGTATAAAAAATAAAGAAAGTAAAAACCACAGCAACCTGATACATGTTATAGTTGACCATAAAAGGAAAGAAGGCAATAATGAAACATTTAAGTGAGAAAGAAAGACCAGCAAGAGATGTAATACAAAAACTAGCCAGCATTGTTGGTCTTTCCCTTCCAGGCTTCCACTCGAGGTTTTAAAACATGTCCGTTAGGGAGAGGCTTTCACACCCTTATAAGGAGTGTGTCGTTCCCCTTTACAACTGATGTGAGATCTCACAATCCACCCCCCTGGGGGCCTAGCGTCCTCGCTAGTACACCGCTCGGTGTCTGGCTTTGATACCATTTGTAACAACCCAAGTCCACGGCTAGCCAATATTATCCTTCAGGTATTAAATCGCGTCCGTTAGGGGAGGTTTCCACACCCTTACAAGGAGTGTTTCGTACCCCCTCCAACCAAGGTGGGATCTCACAATAGTTTCCAACCACAGCCAGATTTCCAGATGATTCAAAAAATAGGTATTAGTAAACATAATGGAAGTTTGTAACTTTACAAGTTTATGAACAAAGTAAAAATTAAAGGCCAGATTTATGAAGTTATATTAGCAAAATATACAAGAACTCTAGGAGCCATATACCACTCGAATGCAATTCATCAGTTTCTTTTAGCTATAAAACGCGACAAATTAAGAAAAGCGCCTTGATTGTCCATGCAAAGTTGTGGCCCATCAGTTTTTTTGTTCTCAAAAGAGAAAGCAACAACGAATATCACAAGAAAGATGGGAGTTCGTCAAAGGCACATCTTTTCAGATGCCCCCTTGTAAAAGAAAAACAACTCCACCCAATTCATGTGAAAATTTTCAGGGATTAAATCCCAAATCATTAGCTTCAATTCCTTATCGAAATCCCACTTCAAAATTAACTAAGATAGAGAAATGAGCTTACAGAAACAAATATATAACGCAAGAATTGAATTCAGTCAGATCCAGAACATCTGAAATGAACAGAAACAACCGATCTACGGAACCCACAACTTCAACAAAAAGATGGTGAAAGAAACAACCGAAACAAGCTAAATAAGGAATCAACATTCAACAAAGCACCGACTGTTCCATATTCCTAAGAAATCAAGAGGAAAAAAACTAAATAGAGAAATCGAACCTTGAAATCCAGAAAAAGAAAAGGCTCAAAATGGAAGAGGAAAATGGGCGCGACTGAAGATTTTATGAGGCTCAAAAGGGTTGGGACGTAGAATCCTCCGCCAGAGAGCCTTAGGACATAGCTATTCCTTTTGAACAGCGAAGGTATATATTGCCTCCCTTTGTCTTCGTGTATACCGAATACACCGCCGCAATGCGAATGTAGAATGTAGTGCCTTTTTCAAGCGTTTCTATCCCCACCAATATCAACCGTTACTTCTCTCATCCTTTCGACGGTCCCGATTGTCCATTCACTTCTTCATAAACCCCTCCTCTCCCTCAATAAACTAATATCATTTACTGCTAATTATATAGATAGCTTAGATTAGACCACTTTTTAGTGTTAATTACCCATTCACTCAATCAACTAATAGCTTAAATTAAACCACTTCTTTGTGTTAATTACCAATTTACTCGATAAACTAATATGCAAAACGGTCGTCCTTACCATGATACACGTATGTGTCATAGATCATCTACACAAGTCATGAGACATAGGGGTGGTGTAAAGCTGACACTATGGTGATTAGTTATGGAAAAAAACGAAACATTCTTTATTAGAGTGTAGAAATCTATCTTTAAAAACCTCGAGAGAAAGCCCATTTCACTTCCATCTAGTGTCCAATTAACTTAAATCCATAGCCGCTGGTCAGTTATGACCCATGTCCGATTAGAGAAAATGAAAATGAAATTATTCTACTTAATAATTAGATTTGCATAATCTTATAGAATTAAACAAGAATCAAAGGCAGATCTACATTAAACAACATTAAGCATCATCCCATCTACAAAAAAAAAAAAAAAAGAAGGTATGCTTGAATTCATGATCTTATAAACTAACTTTGTCCATCTCCCTCCTCAGAGCATTGGCTCTCACCAAGCTTCCAATTGTATTGACAGCCAATTTCAAGTCCTCCAATGGATTCCCAGGCACCACTTTCTTGTATAAGTAGCTGTCGAATGTCATCTTCTGCACATACTCATCCGCGCACATCTCCACAAAAGCTTCCCTCGCCGGATTCGACCTGTAAAACACCTTCTGCAACACGTCCAGAACCTTGTACGTCGGCCAGTAAGTTTTATCCCACTTCTCCAAGTACTTCCTCAGGTCCGATTCCTCCACCATTCTCTTCCCATTCTCCGACCCCTCCACGATGGCCTCCGCGCACATTCGCCCGCTCTTTGCTGCGAAGTATATGCCCTCGCCTGAGCATTTCGTCACATACCCAGCTGCATCGCCCACCAGTGCCACTCTCCCAGCCAACCGCCGTGGACGAGGGTGTTCTGGGATTGGATGTGCTTCAACTCGGATGATCTTGCCGCCTAAGATCTTGTCCTTCGCTCTGTTTCGTGTGGCTATTTGAAACTTCTTGATGTCGGCTTTGTGAGTCACTGTGCCGGTGCCGACCGCCACGTGGTCGCATTTCGGGAACACCCAACCGTAGAAATCCGGCGATACGTCGTCACCTACGTACATCTCTGCAAGATTCTCGTAGTACACCATTTTGTCATCCGGGATCTTGATTCTCTCCTGAAATGAAATTACAAACCCCCAATTCTCTAATTCAGCACAGTTCAATCTATTTTGCTCCTAGCCTCTCCATAATTTCTCCTACATTAAACCCTAAATCCAACAATCGATTTACCTGGAATGCGATGGCGTAGTCGTAATCGCCGGCGTCAATGGCCTTGGCGACGCGAGAATTGGCTCCGTCGGCACCGATCACGGCGTCCACCTCCAATGTCTTCTTCTCTCCGACACCACTTTTCTTCCCGTCGTAAGAAGTGTAATGAAGGACATACGGTGCATTTCGTTCCTTCGGGAGCTCCAATTTCATGACCAAGCCATTAATCACATTAGCCCCATTCTCAGCAGCTCGATTGCGAAGATACGCATCCAGAACCTCACGACGAACCATCCCAATGTACTCGTGAGGTTTTAGGGTTTGGCCGATGTCGACTGCAACGTTCGACGGAGAAATCATCTTCATCTTCGTGACACGGCGATCAATCAGGTCCAACGGGAGATCGAACTCGCCAACCATACACAGGGGAATCGCACCACCGCATGGCTTGCAGTTGTCAAGCTTCCTCTCAAACAGAAAAGTCTCCACGCCTCCCTTGGCGAGAGTCTCGGCGGCCGATCCTCCGGCAGGGCCACCGCCCACCACCGCGACTCTGAGGTTGCGTCCGTTGATTTTAGGGCTAGTTTTGGCAGCGGCGACATAAAACCGGCGCAGAGATTTGGGGTTCGGGTTGGTCTTAGTTTGGGTGACGAAATGGGGCTTCTCCGGCGTAGATTGGCGGAGGCCAATGAAGGATTTGAGGGCGACGGAGGCCATTTCGTCGAGCAGGGGAGTGGAGCTCGAAGTGAAGTGATGGCCGTGAGAGTTGTTGGATGATTTTTATATATTTAATGGATATGGTTTGAGATATGAGTGAGCGTTGGCCGTTGGATGTTGAGAATGGACGGTCGATATAAGAAAAGGATAATTGTACTGGATTTTCAGGATGCCCTTTTTCGTCTTTTCATTTTTTATTTTTTATTTTTAATTCTAATTACAATTGAGTGACTGGTACTGCCACGTCACCACTATTTCGGTTTCGTGTCTACTTCTTCCGCCTGAGGAAAGATGTCGTACATGCAGCTCAGCCAATTAATTTATCACACGCTGCCGTACTTATTATTAATATAATCTAATTAAGTACACATATTAATTAGTCTTATGCTATATTAAATTATTAGATTAAATAAAGACAAAAAAAAAAAAAAGGTCTTAATTTGGTTTTGCTATTTAACTACTCTTACGTGGACCAATAGCGTAAGCTTTTAGATTGAAAAGTATTCTTGGTGGGGACAGGGAGATAAGAATTCTCGCACGTGTCGAATTCTGCGGACGTGGAGGATGATTAGACATATTAGTTTAACAAGTTGGAGAATATAAGAATGAGAAGGACATGTGGCTGGTAATGAAACTAAGGGGATGACGTGGCATCCACCTATTGCTTAAACGGATCAAAAACGCGGACCAAGTTGCCCAATGCCAGCAGAGACTCCCAATATCCAATTCCTCTTTATTTATTTATATTTTTTTCTTTTCACTTTCATCTTCTTTTGGTCTTCAAAAATGATGGAAATTAAGGACTCTGCCATTAGAATTTTCGGCAAGAAGATTCCGCTTCCGGCCGACTCTGAAGCTCCGTTGATGGAAAGCGATGATTCGGATTCAAGCTCCGAGAAAGAAAATCGAGACGGAGCAGTAGAAAAGGTACAGTTCAGTCGATCCTGGTTTTGTGTACTCTGTTTTACTGATTCCTGAATTCGACCTGTTTGTTTTTATGGAATTTGGTATCACTCCAACTGAGTTGGTTCTTCCGGAACTACGGTACTCTGCGAGGAACATGGCGGTTGGTGTCTTGACCGTTTAGATGTTCTTCAGATTTTGTTGTTTTCGGTTTTTGATGCTTCGAGCTAGGGAAAGTTTCCGCAATCTTTTGAGATTCAAAGAAAAAACACTGAATCAATCTACATAAATCGATGATTTGTTATTCGTACAAGAAAATTGTCCTACCAAGGTCTCAATCAACTGCGAGTTCTGCGGTAATCAAGCTAGAGTTCTTATTATTCGACCAATGAACTTCAAATTCCATTCATCTTGATTATCATTTTCTTTTGAATATCCTATTCCGTGCAACTAGTTCCAATTTTCAGGATGCAGTTGTAGGCAACTTCGGAAACAAGTGGGAATTAAATATCATTACTCTTCCTTCTTCTAGGTTATTATACTGCCAACTAGTTTCCTTAATCTGCTTTTGATTTCTGATATGTAGATTCAAATTTATTTGGTATCTATAACTGATAAAGCGTATTAAGAACTGTTCCAATTTTCAGGATGCAGTTGTAGGAAAAGCCACCGAGAGTTCAGCTGCAAAAGAGGAAACTCTTCATGATTCAGAGGATTATGCATGTGTAAAAACAGCAAATGAGGCGCACATGAATCCTGAAGTGTTATCAACAGATGAAAATGATAAGCTCGCAACAAGGAAAACTGAGAAAGAACAGAATGATGCCCCCAACTCGAAAGAGAAACTGAAGAAACCAGATAAGATACTTCCATGTCCCCGCTGCAATAGCATGGAAACCAAGTTTTGTTATTATAATAATTATAATGTCAATCAACCACGCCATTTTTGCAAAGCCTGTCAAAGATATTGGACTGAAGGCGGTACCATCAGGAATGTCCCTGTTGGAGCTGGCCGCCGAAAAAACAAGAACTCAGCCTCACACTACCGACACATTACAATCTCAGAGGCTCTCCGAGCTGCACAAATTGATGTTCCTATTGAGGTCAACCACCTAGCATCAAAAGGCAATGGACGAGTCCTCAATTTCAGTGTAAGCCCACCTGTATGTGAATCTATGGTCAATGTATCACATCCTGCAGAAAGAAAGGTCTTGAATGGAACAAGGAATGAATTTGAGGGAGCCAAAGGACCTTGTGAGGGTGGGGAAACTGGTGATGATTGTTCTAGTGCATCTTCAGTAACAATGTCAAGCTCAATGAAGAATGGAGCCAGGAGGTTCCCTCAAGAACCACATATGCAGAACATCAATGGTTTTCCTTCTCAAATCCCATGTCTTCCTGGTGTTCCTTGGCCTTGTTCATGGACTGCACCAATACCTCCACCAGCCTTGTGCCCTCCTGGAGTTCCTTTATCATTCTACCCTGCAACATATTGGAGTTGCAGTGCTTCAGGTTCTTGGAATATTCCTTGGTTCACTCCACAACCCTGTCCTCCAATCCCTGGTCCAAATTCTCCGACGCTAGGCAAGCATTCGAGAGATGGCGATGAACTCCAGGCTGATAATTCTGAGATGAAAGATCCTCCAAAACAGAAAAATGGATCTGTTTTGGTTCCCAAAACTTTAAGGATTGATGATCCAAACGAAGCTGCTAAGAGTTCAATATGGGAGACACTTGGTATTAAGAATGATTCAATCAAAGCTGTTGATCTGTCTAATGTTTTCCAATCAAAGGGCGACCTAAAGAGTAACGTTTCTGAAGTGTTGTCTCCAGTTTTGCAAGCCAACCCTGCAGCCTTGTCAAGATCTCTTACTTTCCACGAGCGGTCGTGAATGGTATTTTTGATTTTCCAGGTTCATTGTAAAAGAAATCTTTAAGTTAAGAAGCTTAAGCATGAAGTGGATACAAGCATCAATCTCAAGCTTCTTCTGCTCAAGAAGCAATCCAGTTTTTCAAGAATCCCGGAATTGTTCTCTCTATAGAAAGAGTAGCTGCCATTATCAAGCCATCCTTTTGTACATAACTTTACATATGTGAATAACCGATGTAGAGTGGCAGCTAAAGATTCTCAGATGTATAAAAATGCAGCCAAAAGTTTGCTTCAGTTTTGATACTATTGGCAGTCCCTTCCATCCGAACCCAAACTTCAAATCCTTGTTTTGATAATTCACCTGGAAATATTTTGAAGAACACAGAGAGGGAAGTGCATAGCCAAAGGGCTGATAACTGTCATCGTCAAAAAGGTGAAAATGCATTTCAATATCTCTAGAATGATGCCAACAGCCAGAGCAACATGTGATATTCCATACAGCTAAGCTTTGAAAAAGTAGAGTGTCAGTTTGGTGAGCACCAAAAAGGCTGAGCAATACAAGTCACAAATCCTAGAGGGATGCCTAGATCTTCCAACACTCATTAGTTCACATCAACTAAAGATAACAAAGCAAAAGTTAAGTCCCTTTCCTCCTCAATCCCAACAAAACTCCAGGGTAATTGCTTTAAAAGACTGTCATGGAAACACTTTTCTTTTCCACTCTTTTCCCTTTCTTATGGTAAAAGAAACAAAGTTGGATGAAAGGTTTCTGGCCCTAGAACTGTACCGGGGAAAAAGTAGTCTATAACCCTTTGGGGTTCTCTTTTTCCATATATTTTCCCTTGCCTCTCTCTTTTGTGGAATATGTTAATTCTATATACTGTGTGGTAATTAGTAAATATAAACATAGAAACATGAAGTGTGAGATTCCACATTAGTCGGAGAGTGTAACGAAGCATTCCCGGTAAGGACATGAAAACCTTTCCCTAGCAGACACATTTTAAATCTGGGAGACTGGTAGCGATATGCAACGGACCAAAGCAGACAATATCTGCTGGTGGTGGGTTTGGGCTGTTACCAATAGTATCAGAGTCGGACATCGGGTGGTGCACCGACGAGGACGTTGGCCTCCTAGAGAGGTGGATTGTGAGAATCTTACATTGATTAGGGAGTAGAACGAAGCATTTCTTATAAGGGTATGGAAACCTCTCCCTAGCAGACGTCTTTTAAAACTATGAGGTTAACAATGATACGTAACAAGCCAAAGCGGACAACATTTACCAGCAGTGAATTTGGACTAATACATCAAGTTTCCAATTCAAAGAGAGAAAAAAAAAGATATTTGACTAGTTGAATGTACATCAAAACTTGTATTTTCACCGGAACAAAAGTATCAACGTCATGGCGATCGTGGGATCGTCACTAATCCATTAGCAAAGAAATACATAGATATTTTGTTAGGTAGGATGAAATCTAGACCCCATATTATGCAGAAAATCTGGTGCTGTTGGAGCTAGAAGCCAAGGCCACAAATCACTCTTGGCATTTCTCTATTTCCTTTTGCTGTTTTCTTCCCCTTGTGAAAACCACCGTCCATTGCTTCACATCCATATGCTCATCCTTTGGTTTAGTTCTGTGGAAAGCTACAGAATTTATTACACTGAAACTCTCAGGCAACCAAATAAACAGAGAGTTCAAATGCCTTCTGTTCTGCTGATGTTCAGTTAAACAATTTGAAATCTGTGTCTGGATCACTGAAGTTCCACCCAAAGAGAATGGGTTATCAACTTTACACTGTGATTTGCATTATATTCTTACTCTGATTAGTGCTATTTCCACTAACATCAAGTGCTTGCTTTGAAATATCTGAAAAAAGCAAACCCCTCGTTTAAGTAATCTGATTACTTTTATCTCAAATTATTGGTTTTTCTGCCAAAGTTGACTTTGTTCTGAAGAAGTTGAATAGAGTCAACTTCCCACTATAATACCTCTTTTGTTTATACTTTCTATGCCATATTCTTCCTAATAAAAAACAAAAAATAATATAAACTTTAGAGACCAAAATAGAATTTATCCAATTAGAAATCTCAATAAAAATAAGATAAAAAAAATAATAATAAAAAAAGAAAGATGGAAATGATTCCAAAAGGTCAAAGTTACTTAATGAGCTGGTTTCTTACTGTTCCTATCGTTTTGATTGAACCACAAGAAGAAGGGTGGGTATGGGGTGTGAAGCATCACTTCCCCATTACGCAAAGAATGAGAAGAAAGGAACACCCAATGTATTTCCTGCCTCACAGTGGGATTGCTACGAATTTTAACTTTACAAATGCATTCACAGCTTGCACATACTCTCAATCATAGGATCTACACAAATCAAACATGTTACTATGAAATCAATGAGCTCGTTTGCATACGCAATTCGTTCATACCCGATACGCATAAAGGAATGAAATAAGAACATAACAAAAATTCCCTACTTTTTTCATTTCAATCTTTTGTTATTAAGTTTCCATGTATCAGACTGGAATCAATTCTACTAAAGATAATAATATAATAATATAATAACTCGATGAGTCACTGAATTCTGCACCCTCCTGAGTCTTGTCCACGATGTACATTGCCATAGGCAGACAGTTCAAGAAGGTCCATGTCTCGACCTGTAAGTGATTTAAACCAATTGGCCATATGATATCATTACCAAGGTGTAAATCATAATCTATTGCAGTTAAATAAAACTAGTGTACCTGAAACCCGGCAGTAAGAGCTTTTCTGAATTAGTTCTGCTCTTGAAAGTTCAGTACGGTTTCCCTTGGATCGATTAACAGTTGCCTAAATTGTAGATGATACAGTCATCAAACGAAAATAAGAATTCTTTCTTGGAAGTAATGTTTTTTTTTTCTAAAAACCACTCACTCTTAGCCTAATAAGCACGGATACAGATACATATATGACAGATACGGTGACACATCATTTTTTAAAAACTAGAACAAGGACACATCCTCTAGGACACGTTTATTAAAATATATATCAGTTTTATACAAGAAGGAAATCCAAAGTCAATAAATTATGCATTTATATGCTTAAAAAAGTTTGATGTATTTTACTCTCAAAATTTATATTTTTGTACTATACTGTCATGTGTCTATTTAGGATACTTAAAAGTGTTCGATATGTATCTAAAAAAATGTTAGACCTATGCTGACTTTGTACAACTAAAGTCTAATATATATCTATTGTGCTAACACGTGTTTAGTACGTGTCTAAGTGTCCAACATGTGTCGAACACAAACATGCTAGCAAAACCAAAGTATATGTGGTTGTTGTGGTTCTTGACCTCTAGCATTAGCAATGATATTTCAGGAAGGTATTTAAACATTTTAATGATTGTGTGGTATAAATGTATTTAAAGAAATCTTTCTTAGAACACTCATTATAAGAAATTTAATTAAAATCTTTGGTTACATTTTCTTAAAAGTGATTATAATCAAGTTTGTTTTCTTGCACTATATCTAGAAGTGGTTCTACAAATGTCAAAAAACAATGAAGTAATTCCCGATCAATTACTTATAATCACTTTTCGATAATCAAATTCAAACACTTTACAGTAATTTTTAAATATATATTACACTTTTTTGCCCTCTAAAACTACTTAGAAAGTTAATCTAAATGCACAGTAAGTGTATTAGCCAGAATGCTATGTGATCGTGCTTCCGTCCCAGATCAGTAACCCCCGACTTTACAAGAATGTAAATCGAGTCCTTAGAAATAAACAACATCAAGTGAAAAAAAAAAGGGTGTTCTCTAACACATGATAGATAGAATATCTGAATAGAGAATTTAAGTTATAACCTAGCAAGTAAGTTACTATAGTAAACTCTTTAATCTAAAGACAGATACCAGGTTAAAGAACAATCAAGGATGATCAGCCAACTGAGAGAACAATTTTTATCCTACGGTACTTCAAAGAAAGTGTGTGAGAGAGGGAGGCAACATAATAATCGAAGTCATAAGCACAGTCAACTAAGCATTAAGAACTTCTTTGTATCAGCACCTCACACATTATTAAGCATCATAACAACCAGTAGCTACCAAAGAAACTCCGAGAACATGACCACGTATGTTAATTATTTCTTCATTCCTTAAATATGCACAATAACATTTTTGTCCTCTTTAATATAATACTCTCTTAGTCCAGTTAGTTTGAAGGAATAATGCCTAAACTAATCAAATTCAAGTATATAATGCTTAAACTAAGCGAGGTTGAGTATGGTATTAAATGAAGTTTGGATGGCATAAGGGAAAGTCATTAGGACTATTACCTGCAAAACCTGACAATTTTCCAGTGTGCTTTTTCCTCCCTGCAATTTGAAATATTCAAACTCAATCTCTCAAGAGTAACGCAAAACAGTAACAGAATTTAGAAAGAAACATACATGCCAAAATTGACTTCTTAACAAGTAGCCTCTCTGATACTCAACTTTTCAAAAGAAAAAAGGGGAAAAAAGGAAAGGAAAAAGAAAGTGATACTCGAGGGATGAATGATGGAATAGTCATCTTAGTCATATACTCAGTTTGGGCTTGGATGAGGAGACCCCAAACCCCCTTTAAAATTTGTAAGCCACAAAGAAATTCATGCTTGCTTAATTGACAGGACCATTCTTCTCTTAAACATTTAGTTGCAAATTCTAAGCTTCCATTCGTATAAGCTTAGACCAATTAGTATGTCATTTTCCTATGTTATAGCTCGGTAAAGTGCAAGAAAACTTAGGAAGAAATAAGCATGAAAGCAATATTTGGGCATAAATCTCCCGGGTCCGATAGAAGAGAAGATTATAGCAGAATTCCACAACCATTTAATAACATCAAAAGTTCAATACTGTAATTCTACGCAATTGAGTAAATACATCATGTACATGTGATAATCTAAATAGAAATGGAAATGAAATATTTTCAGTTCGCAATACATTAAAACGACAGCCAAATCCATAATGTAGAACGAAGAACCCACCAACAAGTCAAATAAACAAAACTGAGAGCACACTCGAGTAGAATTGAAAGTAATATATGACCTGTTAGGAATCACGAACCTCCATAATGATATTGTCCACTTTAAGCATTAGCTCTCATGGCTTTACTTTTGGTCTTCCCAAAAAGCCTCATACCAATGGAGATGTATTCCTTATTTATAACCCATGATCATCCCCTTAATTAGCCCATGTGGGACTCTCACCCAGCAATCCTCAACACGGAAAAAGTACACCATAGAGCCTCCATTGAGGCCTATGTAGCCCTCGAACAATCTCCACTTAAACGAGGCTCGACTCCTTTTTCTGGAGCTCTCGAATAAAGTACACCCTTTGTTCGACACTTGAGTCACATTTGACTATACCTTCAAGGCTCATTTCTTTATTCGACATTTGAGGATTCTATTGACATTGCTAAGTTAAGGGCGTGATTCTAATACCAGGTTAGGAATCACATATATTCACAATAATATTATATTGTCCACTTTGAGGATCAGCTCTCGTAGCTTTGTTTTAGACTTCCCAAAAGGCCTCATACCAATATAGATGTATTTCTTATCTATAGACCCACGATCATCCCTGATGACCCATGTGGGACTCCCTCCCAACAATGACCATCAGACAGCCTACATTATGATAGCAAACACAAAGCACTTCACAACAACCCAGTCCCATACTCAACAAAATACAAGAAACGCCAAAAAAAAAAAAAAAAAAAAAAAAAAAAAAAAAAAAAAAAAAAAAAAAAAAAAAAA